CTTTTGGAATGGAATAATAGAATCTAAATAAAAGGTACAAAGTTAGCACAAGGAATATTATTAATGAGGACACTAACAAAATAAAGAACCCAAGAAAAGTAACTGAAGTCATAGAAATAACAAACTGAGATGAATTGGGCCATATCTGAATTAAAAATCAAAACTTAAAACAGTTCTTAAAAAGAGTTAGCTACATAAGAGGAGGAGTGGCAATATTTCTGAGTTGAGAAAGTACATAAATATATATGTAACAATTTCAAATCAAGCTGGCTTATGGCAGCCTTAACTTAACCCCAAACAGACAAGCTATTGTCCTGGCCTCTCTTCTTCAAGCATTGCTCTCTTCAAAAGCTCTCCAAAAAAAAAAAAGATGTAGGAATGCACAGGTGAGACATGTATCATATTTCATGGCCAAGTATACAAAACTGGCAAGTCCTAGAAAGAGGGGGCCTCTGGTTTTTTTAATTTTTAATTTTTTGAGATAGGGTCTAGCTATTTAGCCCAGGCTGGTCTTCGCCTCTTGAGTGCTGTGATTACAGGCATGTACCACCACTCCTGGGTCCAGATCTAAACTTCTAAAGAAGTAAAGAACCACCTTAACTTTTGTTTAGTTCTAAGTTTCAAGAAAGTTACATGTTTACTTGCTTTCTTCTTTGAGTCCTGGAGACAGTGACTAAACAAAGTGATATATCTTAATTAACAAGAATACCACACTAGCATTCAGCATGAGAAAAAATGCATTAACACACCAGTACTTAAGGAAAACAAATGTGGGCCTAGTACTTTGTACACCTAAGAGTTTGCTGAAGACAGACTTCTGGCCTCCCAGTTTTCTGGGAAGTAAATAAAAAGGAGGTCTTCTCATTTTCCTATTTACCTGATACTATACTTTTCAGTTTCTGGCCTATAAAAAATGATAAAAACAAATGTGGGCAAATAAAGAATTCTGTAATTACATATATTATTTTCTTGAATTTATTCTACATCCAAAATAAATTTTAAATTATTCTGCTTTTCTCTACTTTTTTTTTTCCTTCATTAAAAAAAAAAAAAACAGTAGGTTTGGAGAACTGAGCTCACTTCCAGCAGGGAATTTTTCTGTTATACAGATGTTGCCTCTTCTTTTTTCTATGAGAAAAGGCTCTGAATGTGGAAATGATCTTCTAAAGCTGTTGCACTGGATGGAATAGCATTGTAAAAAAGAGTTTGCTTTTTCCTATATGTTTTGTACTCAAAATATAGCAATTAAAGTTTGTGGCTTGTCTTCCCAACACCGATGCTAAAGATAGTTGTCTTGTTACTGTTTTTGTAGTGCTAGGGCTGGAACCAAGAGTCCCATGCATGTAGGCAGGTGCTGTACCATTGAACTATGCCCTAAAGACATTTTGAAATAAAGTGGGTTCATAGTCTCAGGAGGAATATGTACAATTTGGAAAAATATTAACGTGGTGAACTTACAAATCATTTTGGCCATAGACAGCTTGAAGATAGTTTATTAATAAGCAAATGTTACCAACTCTTTTTTTTTTTTTTTTTTTTTTGGCAGTACTGGTGTTTGAACTCAGGGCTTCACACTTGCTAGGCAGGCACTGTTACAACGAGTCAGTCTGCCAGCCTTTTTTTGTACTGGGATTTTTCAGATGAGGTCTCACTAACTATTTGCCTAGGGCTGGCTTTGAACCGTGATCCTCCTGATCTCTGCCTCCTGAGTAGCTGGGATTACAGGCGTGAGTCACCAGCATCTGGCTATTGTTTATTTTTTTGAGAGAGGGTCTCCCTATGTAACCCAGGCTGGCCTCAAACTCAAAATCCTCCTGCTTTAGCCTCCAAAGTGCTGGGATTACAAGTGTGTGCAGTCATGCCCTGCTATACAAACTACTTTATAAAAATCATTATTCAGTTAATATTTAATTACCTTACTTTTTCATCTCATCTATTATTCAGTCTAGATTCAAATCTTCCTATACATTTCTAAAATGTCCTTTGTGGGGCTGGGGATGCAGTTCAGTGGCAGAGCATTTATGTAACATGTATGAGGCCCTGGGTTTGATTCCCAGGACTGTGAAAAAATAAAAAAGTCCTTTGTAGCTTGTCTGCCTAAAAATGATCCATTCTAGGAGCATGTATTGATCCTGATTATGTATCTTAAGTCTCTTTTAATCTAAAATAGCCCCTCTAAAACAGCCCCTTTTCTCAAAACACCAATTTGTTGATGAGATCAGTATAGCAATAAAGTAAAATATCTCATCTTATGATTTTTTTTTTCTGGTTGCTTCTTTAATGTGTCCTACATATGGTCACTTGGTCTACTATATAAACTGGGAGTTTGGCCTAAAGGCTTGGAATTTTCTCTCTGTTCTCTATCTCTCTCTCTCTCTTTTGGGACTGGTATTTGAACTCAGAGTTACCTGCTTTCAAGGTAGGCCCACTACAGCTTGAGCCAAACCTCCAGTCCATTTTGCTCTGGTTATTTTTGCAGATGGGGTCTTGGGAACTATTTGCCTGGGCTGGCCTCAAACCACAATCTCAGCTTCCCAAGTATCTGGGATTACGGTGTGAGCCACCAATGCCCAGAATTTTCTCTTGTTTTTTAATTAGTGCATATCAGTTTCATTGTGATATTTCTATACATGACTATAATGTACTTTGATCAAATTCACCCCCTCTATTACTCTTTCTTACGCCCCTCTACCCCAAGGCTTAGAAATTTTAAGGTACATGATTTTGTCTAGAATATATGCAGATGAATAGTATATTTCATTTTCTATCAGATCAAGAGCTATATAATATCCTGGCTGGTGGGGTGGCTCAAGTGGTAAGAGTGTCTACCTTTCAAGTGTAAGGCCCTGAGTTCAAATCCCAATGCCACACACACACAAAAGCTATATAATAACTGAAATAACTGAGTGTCTTCCCATCAGTGATATGACAAATTGCCTTCTAGATTATGGTGATGATAGCCAGATATTTACTCTTTCTCCCTAACTTAATTTTATGATTTTTTTTTTTTTTTTGCATAGTGGGGTTTGAACTCAGGGTCTCACACTTGCTAGGCAGGCACTCTACCACTTGAGCCACTTCACCAGTCTTTATGAATAGTTTATGAAATACTTTATGAAAGTACATTTAAGTCAAAATAGGACCATGTATGATGGTACATACCTATAATCCCAGAACTCAGGAAGCTCAGGCAGAGAATCACAAGTTTGAGTTCAGCCTGGACTACAAAGCAAGACCCTATCTCAAAAACAAATAATTACCCTGTCTCAAAAAAAAAAAAACCTTAAAAGAATAATACAATGAGCACCTAGACTATATAACTATTAATATTTCCCTAACTTTGCTATATATTTGCATGTATAAAAGTACTTTTTTGTTGAATCATCTGAAAATAAGTCTCAAATACCATAAATATTATGCATAAGTATTTAAAAATGAAAATCCAATACCTAAGATTATATTCTTTTTGTCTCCTTTATATATATATATATATATATATATATATATATACACACACATATATATATTTTTTTGGCAATACTGGGGCTTAAACTTTAGGCTTCTTGCTTGCTAGGCAGCCGCTCTACTGCTTGAGCCACTCCATTAGCCCTTTACCATCATATTTTCACCCTAAAAAAATTGGCAATTATTCCCTAACGTATCTAATATTCAGTCTGTATCTAAACCTCGTTAATTGTCTTTCAAGGTGGTTTTGTTTATTTATTTTTTTCCTGAGACAAGTGTCTTACTATAGCCCAGGCTGGTCTCCAAGTTCTGATCCTTCTTGCCTCAGCCTCCCAAGTGCATGTGCTACCATGTTGGTTCTCAAAGACTTTTATACATTTTGTTTTGTTTTGCTTTGCTTCTGTTTCTACAGACAGGATCATGCTATGTAGCTGAGGCTGACCTGAACTCAATATATAGAACAGGTTGGCCACAAATTCACAGTCTTCCTGTCTCAGCCTCCAGAATGCTGGAGTTATAGGTATGTACCACCATCCACAGCTCCTACACCCTTTTTTTAAAAAGTAAACTGTACAAAATAAAAATAAATTAAAAATGAAAATAAAACAACAAAAAAAAGTAAACTATGGCCTGGAGGCAAGACTAAAACAATAGAGGGCATGCCTAGCAAGCATGAAGCCCTGAGTTCAAACCCCAGTACCACCTCCCCAAAACAAAATAAATTAAAATATCTTTATGAACTGAGAATTTTACATTTTTTTTCAAACTAATACCTCACCATAAAAACATAATTAGGAAATCCTAACCTAAGGATTATTTGGTAGGGTGATCAATCGTTGACCAGAACTGAGGGGGGGGTCCCAGGCTGCAGGGCTTGTGGTAACAGTACCAGGAAAGTCCTAGGCCAACAAAGGTGAGTCATCATTCAATTATTTGGTCACCCTTAGAGGGCACTTATCAAGGAAATAATTATTTAGAATGGTTAGTTAAAACCATTCTTCTGGTTCTGACTATTCCCATTATACTAAACAGTTATTTATATAATTACAATTTAAAAAAAATAAGACAGGATCTCACTATGTAGCTTAGGCTGGCCTGAAGCTCATAATCCTCATGAGTGCTCGGTTTACAGGTGTGTACCACCACACCCAGTTTATAATTATACCTTTTTAACAGATTATCTGACAGGTACATTAATTATGCATCTAGATATGGGGTATATGCTTAAGAAAATTTATAACTAAATTTCCATGCCTTACTTCTCAAGCTTAAAAAAAAAATCTAGCAACATCTTGCATCAGTCTTGTATTACTTAATGTTACATTATTGTTAAAATCATATCCTAAACCTATATTTTACCTTCGAGAACATTATCTGTTGCATAGAACACAGTTGTTCCTTAAATATTTACTTTTAGAAGTCATTTATTTCTAATGTTGTTATTTAAACCCTTAGGAATGAGGCTTCTTTAAAAAGTAGATGCAGAATCTTTTGCAATAAGAGGCCATGAGTTGTTCTTTGGTGGACTTTATGACTCTTCTGCAATTGAACAGGGGTGGAGTTTAGGTTTATTGGGATTATTTCTCAGCAGCCAATCAGCTAGCCAAATCTATGGAAAAAAGAAAAAAAAAAAACTTAAGATAATAAACATTTAAATATTTCCTTTCAATATAAACTGTATCAAGTAGAAACTTAAACAGTTCTCAAAACCACTTTAAGAATAAGAAAATGGGCCAGACGCCAGTGGCTCACGCCTGTAATCTTAGCTACTCAGGAGGCAGAGATCAGGAGGATTGTGGTTCGAAGCCAGCCTGAGCAAATAGTTCCTTGAGACCCTATCTCGAAAAACTCTTCACAAAAATAGGGCTGGTGGAGTGGCTCAAGGTGAAGGCCCTGAGTTCAAGCCCCAGTACAAAAAAAAAAAAAAGAACACAGAAACAGAACCAAGGGATGAAGGTGTGGCTCAAGTAGGGTAGAGCACCTGCAAGCTTGAAGCCTTGAGTTCAAACCCCAGTACCAACAACAAAAAAGTTTGCTACGAAGAAAATGGAACCAGTCTTGATGGCGCACAACTGTAATCCCAGCTACTTGGGAGGCTGAGGCAGGAGAATCATTGAGCCCAGAAGTTTGAGATGAGTCTGGGTAACATAACAAGATCTTGTCTAAATAAATAAATAAAAAATAATTAAGGAGGTTTAGATATAGGCTGAATATTAGATACATTAGGAAATAATTGCTAATAATTTAAAAATAGAAACACCATGATTTATGTTATGTAAAATTGTCAAACAGATCTAAAATGGAAAGGAAGAAGTCAAACTATCTCTGCTCAGAGATGGTATGATCCCATACAGAAAAAATTCCAAAGAATGCCAGGTTTATACCTATAATCCAGGCTATATGGGAAGTGTAAGTAAGAGGATCAAAAGTCCAGGTGGGCCCTGGCAAAAAATGAGAGTCTCTATCTAAAAACTAACTAAAGCAAGAAAGGTTGAGGTCATCACTTAAGTGACAGAATACCTGCCTAGCAAGCATGAGTCCCTGATTTCAAATCCCAGTACTACCACCAAAAAAAAAAAAAAGAAAGAAAGAGAAAAATTCCCAAAGAGGGCAGGCATGGTGGTACACACCTGTAATCCCAGCACTAGGCAGGCTGAGGCAGGAGGATCTGGAGTTTGAAGCCAGTATGGACTACATAGCAAACCCAATCTCCAAAAAAAAAACCCCAAAACCCAATAGGGCTAATGAGCAAATTTAACAAAGTTGTAGGTTGCAAGATTAACACATCAATGACAGTCTAAAAGGAAAATTAACAAGTCACTTCCAGCTGGGTATGGTGGTACACTTCTGTAATCCCAGCACTCAGGAAGCTGAAACAGGAAGATTGTTAGTTTGAGGCCAGCCTGAGCTATATAGTAAGACCCTGCCTCAAAAAAAAAAAAAAATCCAAACAAACAAGAAAAAAGAAAGAAATCATTTCCATTTATAATAACATACACATACACAGATTTGTGTATACATATACACACACACTTAAGAATAAATTTAACCAAGGTAGTGAAAGAGTTATATACTGAAAACTCTAAAACATTTCTGAAAGAAAATTTAAAAGACCTAAATAAATAGAAAGACATCCTGTGTTTAGGATAGGATGACTTAATTCTGTTGTCAGTACTGCCCAAATCAATCTATAGGTTTAATGCAGTCCCTGTCAAATTTCCAACAGCCTTTTCTGCAAAAATGGAAATCCAATCCCAAATTCATATGAAATAGCAAGTGGCTCTTAGTAGCCAATCAATCATGAAAAAGAACAAAATTACCTGGGGACAGTAGCATACACATAAAGTCCAAACTGTTTGGGAGGCTGAGAAGGGAGGGTTTCTTGAGTCCAGGAGTTGGAGGCTAGGCTAGGTAACATCCTGTTCCTCCCAAAAAAGGGGAAAAAATGGGGGACTTGTGCTTCCCAATTTCCAAAATCTTCTACAAAGCATCTTCTGTAAAGCTACAGCAATCAACACAGTGTGGTACTGGTATAGGGATAGACATATAGACCAATAGAATTCAGAGTAAATTTTTTTTAAGTTTGAAAAACAAAACATGGAAGATTAGTTATAAATTTTTCAAAGCACATATTCATATCTGGATGCTTAAGTTTTACACAGTTCAGACAGTCTACTTAAGAAGGTATATTTATATGATTATTTGAATAACAAAAATAATCAGAAGTAGGGGGTAATTTTAATTAAAATTAAAATTTTAACTATTTCCAAAAACAAACCCATATATCTGTGGCCAATATTTTTCTCAGTACTGGGGATTGAATGCAGGGCCTTGAGTTTACTAAGCAAGTGTTCTACCACTTGAGCCAAGTTCAGTCCCAATTTATTTATTTTTACCTTTTTTTCTTTTGAGGTACTGGAGATTGAATTCAGGGCCTCATGCTTTCTGGGCAGGAGCTCTACTACTTGAGCCATGAGCCATGCACCCAATCCAAAACAATATGAGATCAATATATATTTTTTTCTTTTTTTTTTTTTGGCAGTACTGACGATTGAACTAAGATCCTTGTGCTTGTTATGCAGGCACTCTACCACTTGAGCCATGTTTCTCTCTCAATTTATTTTTGTCAAGGGTACCAAATTCAGTCATACAGAAGGAATAGTCTGTTTAACAAATGGCACAACTACACCCGCCTAGCAAGCACATGGCCATAAGTTCAAACCCCAGTACCATTGATCTTCCATATAATCCAGCAATACCATTCTTGGGGATATACCCAAAAGAATATGATACAGGTTACTCCAGAGGCACTTGCACACCCATGTTTATTACAGCACTATTCACAATAGCCAAGTTATGGAAACAGCCAAGATGCCCCACCACTGACGAATGGATTAAGAAAATGTGGTATTTATACACAATGGAATTTTATGCAGCCATGAAGAAGAACGAAATGTTATCATTTGCTGGTAAATGGATGGAATTGGAAAACATCATTCTGAGTGAGGTTAGCCTGACCCAAAAGACCAAAAATCATATGTTCTCCCTCATATGCGGACATTAGATCAAGAGCAAACACAACAAGGGAATTGGACCTCGATCACATGATAAAGCAAGAGCACACAAGGGAGGTATGAGGATAGGTAAGACACCTCAAAAACTAGATAGCATTTGTTGCCCTCAACGCAGAGAAACTAAAGCAGATACTTTAAAGCAAGCAACTGAGGCCAATAGGAGAAGGGGACCAGGAACTAGAGAAAAGGTTAGTTCAAGAAGAATTAACCTAGAAGGTAACACACATGCACAAGAAATCAATGCGAGTCAACTTCCTGTATAGCTATCCTTATCTCAACTAGCAAAAACCCTTGGTCCTTCCTATTATTGCTTATACTCTCTCTTCAACAAAATTAGAGATAAGGACAAAATAGTTTCTGCTGGGTAGTGAGAGGGTAGTGGGGGAGAGGAAGGGGGTGAGGGGGGAGCTAAGGGAGGGGGTGAGGGAAGGAGGGAGAAATGACCCAGACATTGTATGCATATGTGAATAAAATAAAAATAAAAATAAAAAATGGCAAAACTACACCCACCTAGCAAGCACATGGCCGTAAGTTGAAACCCCAGTACTACCAAAAAAAAAAGGCACAACTAGATTTTTTTCATGCAAAAGAGTGACATTAGATCCAGGCACTGGTAGCTTATGCCTATAATTCTAGCTACCTGGAAGGCTGAAATTGGGAGGATCATGGTTTGAAGCCAGCTTGGGCAAATAGTTTGAGAGACCCCCATCTCCAAAATTTAGCAGAGCAAAAAGGACTGGAGATGTCACTCGCACCTGCTTTGGAAGTATGGAGCTCTGAACCCCAGTCCCACCAAAAAAAAAAAAAAGAACAAAATTGGGCCCCTACCTCATGCCATATAAAAAATTAACTCAAATTAGATCAGTGACCTAATTATAAAAGCTAAAATTAGGCTGGATGTGATGACTTAAGCCTAGCTACTCAGGAGGATTGAAGTTAGATCTATTACCAGCTCAGGCAAAAACTTTGGGAAACCCCATCTCAACCAATGGTTGGGCACAGTGATCCCTGCCTGTCATCTGAACTCTATCAGGAAGTGCAAATAGAAAGACCAGGTCCAGGCTAAACCTGGCATAAAGCAAGACCCTATCTTGAAAATAACCAACACAAAAAGGCTGGCGAAGTGGCTCCAGTGATAGAGTGCCTGTCTAGCAAGTATGAGGCCCTGAGGTCAATCCCTCAGTATGGCAAAAAAAAAAAAAAAAAAAGAATTAAAACTATTAAAATCTTAGAATACAACATAGGAGAAAATGAAATGTTCATGACCTTGGATTTGGCAATGGATTCTTAAATATAATACCAAAAGCACAAGAAACACAAGAAAATACTAGTTAAATTGAATTACATTAAAATTAAAAAAGTTTTGTATATCAAAGGATATTATTAAGAAAGTAAAAAGACAACCTACAGGAGAAAATATTTGTGAACCATGTATTTGATAATTTATGCAAAATATGAGTTATAACAACAAAATGACAAACAACCCAACTAAAAAATAGACAAAAACAGCCTGTTTTAATTTGGTTTGGATTTTTTGGTACTAGGGATTGAACCCAGGCCTTATACATGCTAGGCAAACAGTTAACCACTAAGCTATATCCCCAGACCCAGCCTGGTATCTTGCATGGCTATAATTCCAGTTCCTGAGAAGGCTGAGGAAAATATCAAGTTTGAACAATTTAGTAAGACCTTATCTTCTTTCTTTTTCTTTTTTTTTTAAATCTTTTTGTGACAGGATCTTGCTATATAACCCAGGCTAGCTTTGAAGTGGCAAATCTCCTGCCTTAGCTGCCCATGTGCTGGGATTATAGATGTGTAACAGCATGCCCAGCTTGAGAATGTCTTCAAAACAAACAAAACAGTTCAAACACCTGTTCTATCAAAAAGAAAAAAAGAAAACAACCAAACAAAGAATAAGCAAAGAACTTGAATTTGAAAAGAGATTTCCAGTAGAAACTCTCATACATTGCTGATAGGACTATAAAATGGTGCAGCCACTGTTTAGAAATGTTTTTGGTGGCTCCTTAAAAAGCTAAACGGAATTACCATATGACCCAGTAATTCCACTCTTCATACCCAAAATAATTAAAAACTGGGATTGAAACAAACATTTATACAACATTGTACACAATAGTCAAAAAGCAGAAACAATCCAACTATGTATCAATTTATGAATGGACACACAAAATACACTACATACACATAATTGAATTGAATATTATTGAGCTATAAAAAGGAATGTAATTCTGATGTATGCTACATGGATGAAACCAGAAAACATTATGCTAAAGTGAATTAAGCCAGACACGAAGGAACAAATACTGTATGTTTTCAATTATATGAAATATCTAGAACAGACAAATTTAAAGAGCCAGAAAGCAGCTGAGGTGACCACGAAGTGAAAGAATGAATTGCTTAATGGCTATAGAGTTTCTGTTTGGAACAATGAGAAAATTTTGGAAATAGACAACAGAATGGTTGTATTGTATAACATTGTGAATGTAATTAATGCCACTGAATTGTTCACTTAAAAATTTTTACAATAGCTAGTAAGCATGAGGCCCTGATTCAAATCCTAGTACCACCAAAAAAATATTACAAGCCAGGTGCCATTGGTTCACATCTGTAATCCTAGCTACTCAGGAGGCAGAGATCAGGAGGATCACGGTTCAAAGCCAGCCTGGGCAAATAATTTGCAAGATCCTATTTTGAAAAAACCCATCACATAAAAGGACTGGTGGACTGGCTCAAGGTACAGGTCCTGAGTTCAAACCCCAGTACTGCAAAAAAAAAACAAATTACAATAGCAAATTTTAAGTTATATATAAATTGTTATATATATTTGGCCACAATAAAACACAAACATAAGATTTTTCAGGTATATACAGAAATAGTGAAAACAATGTTAAAAAACATTTATTGTGGTACTGTTGTTAAAACTACAGATCAGGGGGCTGAGGATGTAGCTCAGTGGTAGCTCTTGCCTAGCATGCTCAAAGCCCTGGGTTTGATTCTATCACTGCAAAAATAAAAATAAACAACTCTCAATATGTTCACTGTTTCAAAACATGCAAAAATTTTAATATAAGAACTATAAATAGTATTCTTATATGTGAAAAAAAAAACATTTCTTACAAAAGGATCTGCTGGTTTTTGCTTACAAAGCTCTGTGAGTCCTTCAAGCAGAGTTGGTGTTACATATAAATTTAAATAGTCTTTAGCAGCTTGTCCAATTGGAATGGGCTCAACGATCACTGAAAATGCAAATACAGTCTCATTAAAGAAAACATAAATGATTAAATGATATACAGTCATTTAAAGGCTGCCTTAAAGAGTTTTTAACGCCATAAGAAATAACCATGTTTTCATGTTTTTTAAACTTCTATTAGTAAAAGTAGCAGCAGTAATTTATAGCCAATAAAATTCACACATCTTAAGGTGCTTAATGAATTTTGATAATGTGTACAATTGTGTAGCCACTACCATGCTCAAACTATAGAACACCAGTCACCACCAAGTGCCTCTTTAAGTTGATTCTCCTTACCCTTTCCCCTCGTCATCTAGTAATTAACTTTTTTTTCTTTTTTGGTGGTACTAGGGCTTGAACTCAGGGCCTAAACCTTGAGCCACTCCACAGCCCTTTTTTATGATGGGTTTTTTGAGATAGAGTCTCATGAACTATTTCCCTGGGCTGGCTTTGAACCAAGATCCTCCTGATCTCTGCCTCCTGAATAGCTAAGATTTCAGACATGAGCCACCAGTGCTCGACTGTAATTAGCTTCTGTGACTACAGTTTCCTAGAATTTTATATAAACCTGTCCCATTTTTAAAATTTTTATTTTATTTTTAATTTTTTGGGTGGGATCTCGCTTACAAAGCAGGCACTTGCTCTACTACTTGAGCCACACCTCCAGCCCATTTTGCTCTGGTTATTTCGGGGATGAGTCTTGAGAACTATTTGCCCTGGCTGGTCTCAAACCATGATCCTCCTGATCATAGACTCCCAAGTAGCTATAGGCATAAGCCACTGCCACCTGGCATCCCACTTTTTAAATATCTCCTCAAGTATTTATCATTTCTATGTGTTGGGAACCTTTGGATTCTTCTAATTATTTTTGAAATATATCAAAAATAGTTGCTGGGCATATCAGAAATAGTTGATGGCACATGCCTGTAATTCTAGAACCCCTGAGTCTGAGGCAGGAGGATCAAGAGTTCAAGCCCTATAATCCTAGTTACTCAGGAGGCATAAATCAGGAGGATCTCAGTTCGAAGTCAGCCTGGGAAAATAGTTTGAGAGGGCATACCTCAAAAATACCCAACACCAAAAAGGGCTGGCGGAGTGGCTCAAGTGGTAGAGTGCCTGCCTAGCAAACATGAGGTCCTCAGTGCAAGTCCCAGTACCACCACGACCAACAAAACAAAAGATCACAAACAAATGGCAGGTACAGATACAATATTGAATAATGCAGTTCTTACTCTCTTACAGATTAGTGAATATACATCTAAACTATCTTTCCATCTATATAATTTTATGACTACTCTTATATTTCAGATCTTTGTCTATTATATTGTACTTTTGAGACAGGCTCTTGGCAGGGTGTTGGTGGCCAACACCTGTAATACTTGCTACTTAGGAGGCAGAGATCAGGATCAGAGTTTGAAGCCAGCAGGGCAAATAGTTCAAGAGATCCTATCTCAAAAATACCCAATATAAAAAGGGCTGGCAAAACAACTCAAGTGGTAGAGTGCCTGCTAACAAGTACAAGGCTCTGAGTTCAAGCCACAGTACCGAAAAAAAAAAAAAAGACATGCTCTTGCTATGTAGCCCAGCCTGGTCTCAAATTTGAGATCCCTTTGACTCAGCCTCCTGAGTGCTGATTATAGGTGTGTGCTACCCCACTCAGCAGATTTTTAAATAAAGTATGTCAGACTTTGGAAAATTTTGACTTTTCAGCTCTGTTTAAACTCTAGGGAAGTGAACCAAACTTGCAATAAAATAAAATATGCAAAATAAAAAGAACACATTAATATACACTCATAGTAGGCTTTTTGAAGTTGATTATTTTTCTACTTTTGAAAAAGATGAGAAAGTGAAGTTGCTGGCCTCATGTGTTTACCAAATTTTCTTTCTGCCTTGAAAATATTACTGAAAATATAAGGTTGTGGATATAGCTTAGTGGTAGAGCACTTGCCTCACATTCCTGGACCCCATCCCCAATACTGGTGCCCCCCTAAATCACTAAAAAACAAACTCAAAATATAAGCACTTCAGTATGTCCACTTCCAAAAAATTACAATTTCAATGACAAGGTACAAACCAAAAAAGGGCCTACAATTATTAATTTCAGAATGATATGAAACTTTGTTAGGTACTAATAAATTATTAGAGGACATAGTAAATAAGAGATCCTTTTTTTCCCCTATGTACAACATCTTTAACTGAAGTGGTAAGGGTAACTAGAAAGAGTTACAACACAGAAGGAAAAGAGCAATCCTAAATATGTCTAATCTAAGAAAAAAGAAAAAAAATTTTAACTTTCCAATGATTACCTAGAGAGTGCAATTTAGTTGTAAGGGAACTGTTTGAGTTTTTGGATCATGGTTTCAAGATATTCTTCCTTCCTTTCTTCCTCTTTTTTTTTTTAATTGTGCTGGGTGGGGGTACATTGTGGCATGTACAAAAGATCTTACAATATATCAAACATATCATACTTGAATTCACCCCTTGCACCATTCTCTTTTATCCCTCCTCCCCCTCAAGTTTTTTGTTTTGGAGGTACTGGGGTTTGAACTTAGGGTTTTGTGCTTGGGCAGGTGCTCTACTGCTTAAGCCATGCTCCAGCCCTGACTTCAAGTTCTTGACTAAGTACAACTCAAAAGCATAGTAAAATATATTGGAGAAAATTCTATCTTCCATTCCAGACATACTTCCAAAATTAAAAAAAGATAAATAATTAGTAGATGCGGTTGAGAAATTAGTCATCTGTAACTCACCTTCAGGAAACATGAAACGAATTTCTCTTTCTGCTGCAGCAAAGTCGTTACTCCCATGAAGTGCATTCCTTAGGTCATCGGTGCCATAAAGTGCCCTTAGACTAAAAGCAAATTAGAGACACTGCCCATCCAATCTAATATCATCTTCCTTACTTTATATGAATGTATTATACTTAGGAATTTTATAATAAAATATTGCCACATCTCACATATGGAGGCTTCAATCTATTTTGAATTTAGGCTTATGTCAACCTATATGAGGGTCAAATACATTTAAATCTGCAAGAAGGATACACTGGAAAAATAGGAGTTCTCTAAGTAAAAAAGAGATGTCAGTTTATGAGAAGTGAAAAAGCAACGCGAAGTCAGAAGTGCAATAACTCAATGTCCTCTTGTTTTTAGACACTAGGGATAATGTTGAAAATTTAGGTTTCTGCTCCTGTATTACTATTATTATTATTATTATTATTTTGGCAGGACTGGGATTTGAACTCAGGGCTTTGTATTTGCAAAGTAAATAATATTCTTTTAAAATACCATCCTATCCAGGATTGAGGCCAGTCTTGGTTACACAGTAAGACCTTGTCTCCAAAAACAATGATAAAACACAAAACAAAAACCTCATTTTTCCCATGAAAAAAATCCTATTTCAGTGGCAATTTAATTCAAGAATCAGAAAAAGAACAAGGCCAGTCAACCATAAATCAGATGTTCTCTGAGACTTTTTTTCAGTATTTGATATTAAGGTATATACTGAAATGATTAAAATGTAAAATTGACTACCCTGAAAGACAAGTAGATTTAGGAAAGCTTCCAAATTATAAGGAAACTTTCATTGCAATGAAATCAGATTTTTTTTTTTCATTTTCACATGTAGTTTCAATCTCCCATCCCAAGAAAATTACCTGTCTGGGTGTGTCTCCTTAGCTACTAAACTATTACTTGGTCCCAAAAGTTCTTTCCAGTAAGAGATGGCATTATGTCTAGCTAATATCATAGCAATGAGTGGTCCAGAACTCATGTAAGCTGTTAAATTTGGGAAAAACATTTTCCCATACTGTTCCACATAAAAGTTACTACAGTGCTCAGGACTGAGTTGCAGTTTTCTTCTCTATAAGAAAAACAAAGTCAACAAAAGCATTTAAAGTGACAGTTCAATAAAACCTTATTAAGCCATTAATAACTCAAAATTAGACCAATCTGATTACAAATTTGAGACTTATCTTTGTATGTGAGGAAAATATGTGATAATTAAATGTATATTGAAATAAGATAATTAGAGGAATTATTTAATCTACTTAAGAAAATTATTCCAGTTTGGCACCCTTTCTCGTATACGGTTTGTTAATGACAAATTCACTGCACCTCCTTCTTAAAGTGACACTCCAATTATCAAGAACTTTTTTTTTTTTGCATTTTTTTTTCTTTTATTCATATGTGCATATACAATGTTTGGGTCATTTCTCCCCCCTTCCCCCTGCCCCCTCCCTTCCCCCTGCTCCCTCCCACCCTCTCACTGCCAGGCAGAAACTATTTTGCCCTTATCTCTAATTTTGTTGAAGAGAGAGTATAAGCAATAATAGGAAAGACCAAGGGTTTTTGCTAGTTGAGATAAGGATAGCTATACAGGGAGTTGACTTGCATTTCTTTCCTATGCATGTGTGTTACCTTCTAAATTAATTCTTCTTGAACTAACCTTTTCTCTAGTTCCTGGTTCCCTTCTCCTATTGGCCTCTGTCACTTTAAAGTATCTTCATTAGTTTCTCTACATTGAGAGCAACAAATGCTATCTAGTTTTTTGGGTGTCTTACCTATCCTCATACCTCCCTTGTGTGCTCTCGTTTTTATCATGTTCTCAAAGTCCAATCCCCTTGTTGTGTTTGCCCTTGATCTAATGTCCGCATATGAGGGAGAACATACGATTTTTGGTCTTTTGGGTCAGGCTAACCTCACTCAGAATGATGTTCTCCAGTTCCATCCATTTACCTGTGAATGATAACACTTCATTCTTCTTCATGGCTGCATAAAATTCTATTGTGTATAAATACCACATTTTCTTAATCCATTCGTCAGTAGTGAGGCATCTTGGCTGTTTCCATAACTTGGCTATTGTGAATAGTGCTGCAATAAACATGGGTGTGCAAGTGCCTCTGGAGTAACCTGTGTCATATTCTTTTGGGTATATCCCCAAGAGTGGTATTGCAAGATCATATGATAGATCAATGTTTAGATTTTTAAGAAGCCTCCAAATTTTTTTCCAGAGTAGTTGTATTAGTTTGCATTCCCACCAGCAGTGTAAAAGAGTTCCTCCCCCCCTCCCCACCCCCATCCTCACCAACACCTGTTGTTGGTGGTGTTGCTAATGATGGCTATTCTAACAGGGGTGAGGTGGAATCTTAGTGTGTTTTTAATTTGCATTTCCTTTATTGCTAGAGATGGTGAGCATTTTTTCATGGTTTTTTTTTTTTTTTTTGCTATTTGAATTTCTTCTTTTAAGAAAGTTCTGTTTAGTTCACTTGCCCATTTCTTTATTGATTCATTAATTTTGGGAGAATTTAGTTTTTTGAGTTCCCTATATATTCTGGTTATCAGTCCTTTGTCTGATGTGTAAGCTGGCAAATATTTTCTCCCACTCTGTGGGTGTTCTCTCCAGTTTAGAGACCATTTCTTTTTGTTGAGCAGAAGCTTTTTAGTTTTATGAAGTCCCATTTATCTATACTATCTCTTAGTTGCTGAGCTGCTGGCATTCCATTGAGAAAGTCTTTGCCTATACCTATTAGTTCCAAAGTATTTCCTACTCTTTCCTGTACTGAACTTTAGAGTTTGGGGTCTGATATTTATTAAGACTTTGTTAATGAGCATTTCATATACATTAAAAAAGCAAAACTGGACTTTAGAATATTCCAAATTCATCTTTCCATATCTACTTGCGTTATTTTTCTATTCATTGTGAAATTTTCCTACATTATTTTGGGAGCTGGTGTCATTATAGTACTTAAAAATAACATACAAGGGATTTTGGTGTGGCTCAAGTGGTAGAGTACCTGCCTAGCAAGCAGGAGACCTTGAGTTCAAACCCCAGTAGTACCACCAAAACAAAACAAAAAAACGATTTAAAAAAATGTAGTATAATGAACAGTAAGAAAATTTTCACTTAACATGGATATTCTTTTTTTTTTGTCCAGTACTGGAGTTTGAACTCAGGGTCTACACTTTGTTGAGCCACTCTATCAGCACTTTTTTATGAAGGGTTTTTGAGATAGGGTCTCATGAACTATTTATCCAGGCTGGTTTCAAACTGCGATCCTCCTGATCTCTGCCTATTGGGTAGCTAGGATTACAGGGGTGAGCCACCAGCGCCCAGCTGAACCTGGGTATTCTTTATTCTGGTTCTGCCATAAATGTGTTGATTTGCTACTGTAGTCTTAAGGAAAATTAGTGGCATATGTTTCTGCATTTGAAAGAATATGAAACATTTTGGACAATAAATGTTATTTTTCGCAAATGAGAATCTATAAGAATGAAGTATTAAACAACTCCAATATGAAAGTATCTTGATTTCACTAAAAGTAACCATTCTGAGTGTTTTACAAAAATCATCTAGCTGACAGAGTGGCTCAAGTGGTAGGCTGCCTGCCTAGCAAGTATGAGGCCCTAAATTCAAACCCCAGTACAACCAAAATCATCATCTAGCCAGGTACTGGTGGCTTACGCTATTATCCTAGCTACCCAGGAGGTAGAGAGCAGGAGGATCATGGTTTGAAGCCATCCCTGATCAGTAGTTCACAAGACCCTATCTCAAAAAAACCTATCACAAAAAAGTGGCTCAAGTGGTAAGAGCACCTGCCGAGCAAGCATGAGGCCCTGAGTTCAAACCCCAGTGCTGCCAAAAAATAAATAAACAAATAAATAATCATATAACCAGGTATGATCATGCCTGTAATTCCAGCTCTCAGTAGACTGATGCAGGAGAATCACAAGTTCCAGACCAAAATGCTAAATGTTTTGGCCATAATATCCCAATGACAATAAAAAATGATCCTCACTCTAAAAAATCATTAAAATGGTACTTATTTTTAGGTATAAGAAGTGTCATGACCCAATGACTGTAGTTTATTTTCAAGATGGATAGCCATAGAGCTAGGTACAATTATTTTGAATTGACAAAAGCAAAATATGTAAGTTTTGAAAATTAGTCAAAACAAAAATCTACTTATACTTTACTTTTGTGACTTCTGAAAGTCTCTTCTATTATTCAGAATCACAGGCCAAGTTAGATGCTTGTGGCTCACTTCTGTAATCCTAGTTACTCAGGAGGCAGAGATCAGGATTGCAGTTCAAAGCCAGCCTGGACAGATGGCTCAAGAAGCCTTATTTTGAAAAAAACTAGCACAAAACTGGGGTTGGCTTAGTTGCTCAATTGGTGGATGTCTACATAGCAAGCTTGAAGCCCTGAGTTCAAAACTCAATACTGCCAAAAAAAAAGTGGAACCAAGGGTCAGAGAGCCAATAATTTTATAGTAATGAATCTGAAAAGGGCAATTCTGAAGTCTTTATATACACTTAAATAGTCCATTTTTAAATGCTTGAGTTGCCATATGTGTGTATGTGTGTGTATGTGTATGGCAACTCAAACTTTATATATTCAGCTATGCATATGCAAGATGTAATTTTATAATTATTATAATATATATGTACATATGCATATATAATATGCAACATTCTCCCAAAACTATGTGAAAAAAAAAAAAAAGTACAGGCTAGCCTGGACTACATGGTAGGACTCTGTCTTAAAAAAAAGAAAGAAAGAAAGAAAGAAATCTATTACTAATGCTTCTCAATCCCAACAAAAGGTCAATCAGGTCCTGGTGTCAGTGGCTCATGCTTATAATCCTAGCTACTCAGGAGGAAGAGATCAAGAGGATCAAGGTTTAAAATCAGCCCAGGCAAATAACTGGCAAGACCCTATCTTAAAAAAAATACATCACAAAAAAAGGGCTGGTGGAGTAGCTCAAGTTGTAGGACCTGAGTTTGCCAGTATTGCAAAAAAAAAAAAAATTAATTAATCAGGAGGGGAAGGACTAAAAATAGACATCAAAGAAAAACTTCTGGCTGGAATAAAGGATGAGACATGAAGATAATTCACTAATCAAAGTGTAAAAATCTCACTGACCTTATTTATTTATTTATTTATTTATTTATTTGAGGTACTGGGGGTTGAATTCAGAGTTTCACCTTTGCTAGGCATATGCTTTACTCTACCACTCCAGCTTCGCTCCCAGCCCTTTTTGCTCTGTTTGGAAACAGGGTATCACTTTTTATTTAGGCTGACCTGGATGGTAAGCCTCCTCTTTTAGGCTTCCTGGCATTGCTGGGATGACATGGATGTACCACCACACCCATATTTTGCCCACTGAGATGGGGGTCTCCCAAACGTTTTTGCCTAGCTGGCCTGGAACCATGACCCTTCCAATCTTAGCCTCCCAAGAAGCTAGGTATGAGCCACTAGCACCCAGCTTTTTGTTTGTTTGCTATGTAGCCCAGATTGGCCTTGAACTTGTAATCCTCTTGCCCAGCCTCTTGAGTGCCAAGATCACTCTGTGATTTTTAACTTAAATTTATGTGTGTATGCGTGCGTGTGTGTTGTGTGTGTGTGTGTGTGTAGCTGGGGATCAAACCTAAGGTCTTGGACATGCTAGCTAGGCAAGTACTCTATCACTAAGCTATACCCCAGTCCTATCTTTATTTTGTGATCTCATGCTTTTTGGCAGTACTAGTGTTTGAACTCAGGGCCTCACACTTGCTAGGCACTCACTTGAGCCACTCTGTGAGCCACCTATCTTTTTTTACTTACCTGTTTATTATTTTTGGCAGTACTGGGTTAACTAAGGGGCTCATGCCGGCAGGTGTTCTACTACTTGAGCTACTCCACCAGCCCTACTTTTGAGATAGGTCTTGCTTTATGCTTGGGTCGGCTTGGATCACAATCCTCCTATTTGTGCTTCCCTGTGTAGGTGGAATGACAGGCTTATGCACCTAGCCATTGGTTTGAGATAGAGGTCTCATTAACTTTTTTGTCTGGGCTGGCCTCGAACCATGATCCTTCTGATA